GTCTCAGAAGCGTGATGTCAGGAGGCTTACCGGTGCCTCAAAAAAGCCGCGCTCCCAACCATTAACCCTGGCACTCTACCCTTGTTTTCACAACAGCATGCCAAAGTGCTTGTGTTGTCTGCAAGCCTATGCCGCCATGTGTGTTCAAGTCTGCAAGTCTTGGCTCCAAGAGCATGCTTCCTGAGCCACACACAGCACAGTTCAAAGATTTTGGCTGCAAGCAGCAGCTCCACTGCCACTACACTCTACAACAGCCTACAAGGTTGCACGGGTTTCTTCATAGCCTCTATGTTCCACGTGGACGCGGGAGGAACGAATCCTCAGCCGGAACATCTCTCTGAAGTCCCTTCGGATGTAAGGATTTCCTTCTGCTTGGAACTTGGTCGCATTGACCCCGGCACGCTGCCCATCTCGGTACACGCAGTATGTCTCGGCGGGCGGCTCGGGTGGACACAACTCTTGAACCTCCCCGTAGCGGTGTCCCAGAGTTCGTGCCAGGTCATCAACCACATCCATGCCCTCCTCCACTTCGCCGAAGGGAGCGAAACCGTGAGGATCCAATCTCGAGTTGTTCGCAAAGTTCACGAAGATCTCCGTTGCGAAGCCCAGGGCGCAGTAGTCCTCAGCCGTGCAGTTTGGACGGAGGTCACGGCAGGGATCCTCCGGCCCGGCCTGGCAAACCACGGCGTTCATGGCGAAGGCGACACGACCCCGCGTGTTGGATCTCAAGGCCGGCGCTGTCTGGTTGCCTGGGCTTTTTGTAAGGGATTTAGAATTTTAAGCTACCACAAAAAGGAAATCCCCCCACTATTATTTCACTATAGATCCCTATATTATTATGGTAACTTAAACTAAATCAAATTTTAACAAAAGCCCAGTAACTTAATTAAAATCTTTTAAGCAAGAGCCCAGTTGCTGGTCTTCCACTTGGTCCAGGCATCATTCACCGCCGGCCGGCCCACGAGGCCCCACTGGCTTACGAAGCGGGTGGTCTCGTTCACCTAACTGGTTCTTAGTAAGGAATGGGTTATTGGCACTACTATAGGAGACCTTAAGGACTATCATAGGGATCCATTCCCCCATTCCCTTCTAAGAACCAGAGGGAGTCACGTAGTCGTTCCGGTAGATGGCCACATTCCGCCACCAGTTCAGCTTGGAAATCTGCCAGAACCGTTGCGCGAAGACCGGGGCCCAGTGGCTGTAGGTACGGACTCGGAGCACCGTCCATCCCGCAGCCGGAAAGCTACGGAAAACTCGGGAGGTGGCGGGGTGTCAAAGCAGAAGGCATCGCCTGCTGGAGCTTGGGCGCAGCGCAGCAGCCGGGCATTGTGCCAGGAGTCCGCCTCTTCCGGTGCAATGGCAAGCAGCGCTTGCGAGTCAGGCTCTTCACAATTTTCACAATCGCACACGACACGCCAAGCCAGAAAGCACCAGAACAAAAGGAGATGTGCCGGCAGACACATGTGCGCCGCCAGTGGCTTCCAAGTCACCGAAATAACTTTTGAGTTCGATGCAGCAGCTTGAGCCGTAGCCATTTCGGACTCTCGCAACTCGGATCACACGAACAGTGCTGGCGAGGCACGGCCCCTGCGAGCCGTAGTCAATTTAGGGGATTGGGGTTAGAGTCTTTGGGCCTCCGCAATAAGGAGGCATCGGAACAGATGAGGCCTGAGGTTGCCACGCCCAGGCCGACCCGCAAGACGGTTTCAGGGATCTTGTCTGAGAGGAGGTTGGGCTCCCGCAAGGTGGTGATGATAATGTCCACGTAAGCCACGCAAAAGCCCAACTGGGAGGATGTCTTCGGTGTTCAACCGCAGAATGCGACCACGTGCGCTAAGAGACTAATCGGATTGAATTGAACCCTCGGCAGGGCGGCAGTGACACAACCCAGTACACTAGCCAGCGCCTGAGAGACAATGATGCCGAATGCAGCGAGGACAACCTCAGGTACGAGTGAGATGCAGTGCTTGGCAGCAAAAACCACTGTAGCCAGAGAGAACCGGGCATGGAACTGGCATGAACTGATTGCAGTTGCCTCGTGGAGTCGGGCGGCCCCTGACCCTTTGCAGAATCCCATCAAACTACCCTGAAGCCCCAAAACCGCAAGCATGAAAACGTGCATGAATAGATATGAATAGATAAACCTGATCTAGAATGCAACGTTAACACTTAACACGTCGAGAAGCACATGCTATTGCAAACCTCAGCCGGAACGAGCCAGGAAGGTAACATCAAGAGCAACTACGACGGCCGCCATCGCCACCATCTCGATCACTACCAAAACTACCAACATCGACATTCTCGTCAGCAAGACCCCCAAAATCCAGGGGCCTTATGCCGGCCTCTGTGACCAGCAAATCCCCGTCTCCAAGGCCACCATCAGCACCATCATCATCACCGTCATGATCATTCTCCTACATCTGGAACACCACGATCACCGCTGCATGTCCCGAAACCTTCTAAGTAGCAATGACAAGGCGCCCCAGCCAAACCGAGGCTGTGCGCTGCAACCTGCGCCAACGGTCCGAGGCCGAAGTCCTTCCCGTGCTGCCAGCACTTCAGGGTTTGGTGGTTCTGTTCTTTGCACCAGCTCATGTCACCACTTTACAGCCTATACCATACTCTGCTATAACATACTATAGCACACCATTATATATAATATACAATGTATACTAGAATTATACTAGGACCTTCAGTGCGGCAGGACGGGCGTTGGAGCCGTCAAAGATCCGAAGGTCCTGCTTGGACATGGCCTCGTCTGTAGACGTGTCCGGGTCGAGAACCCGTGAGTCCCCCAGTATGGCCTGCCAGGGCACAGCACGTAGATCCGTGAATGCATCCCCCCACAGGTAGGTTTTTCCCTCCCACATAGCAAGGACGGTGGGGTTTAGGGTTTAGGGTTTCGGGTAGCTAGCTTGGTAGGTAGGTTGGTGGGGAGGCAGGAGCAGGGAGGGAGGGAGGGAGGGGGAGGGGGGAGGTAAGCGCCCAAGCCAAGCCTCGCATTGAATGATGCGCCATACACTGAAGCAGCAGATTGCTGCCACGACCAAGTAACCTCAGCCATGCAGAACAGGAGCTTGAGACTATGTTCGAGCAGGTCACCAGTCATGACTTCTCATGGCTGGTTCAACAATGATTGCTGCCACTTCCCAGCCCAGCAACCGCAAGGCTTCCCAACGGCAGCATATTAAATCTAAAACCAATCAGCAACATCAGCCTGCAATTGTCACATCGTCGCTCTGCCCCCATCACTTTGGATACCCCGGAGTGGCCTGGCACGGCGAAAGCCAGGCCCACCAAACCGAACACATACCTGGGCTATAGTATGTTGTAGTATTCAGTATTAATAACATGATATATGATGGTATGTACTACATTTTGTCGTATTATATACTATTTTGTCGTATATCGTATATGGTAGTTATATATATTTATTTATTTATTTATTTATGTTTATATTTATATTTATATTTATATTTATATTTATATTTGTATTTGTATTTATATTTATATTTTATATACGTATATATATATATATGTAGATAGATAGTATTACTAATTATGTATTGCCGTCATATATAGTATAGTACTATATGTTATAGCATTGAAACATAGTAGTATATTGCAGTATCATATTATGTTAAGGTTTCGGCCACGCGACTCGGGAGTATTCGGGACTCAAGTTGCCGCTCTTCCTCGAGAATGCTGTTGGGTTCGGGCTGCGGCTCCAATGCACAAAGACTCTGACAGCTAATCTGCCAACTGACGTGGCCGCCAAGCTACGGCAAGCTCAGGACACCGGCACCCATCATGCCTGCGGCGGATTCAAGGATGGTTGGACCCGGGCAGCCGTTGGTGTTTTTGCTCTCATCATGGTGAAACTGCGGATCTGTGTTTTCCTTCTGTCATCTGGCTCGTGAGGCACCATTAGTCTTCGCTATGCTATAAATAAGACTCGCGTATGAGGTCCATTAGGTGCTAGAGGCCTTGCATAGCACCGCTTTCAGCAGATGCCGAGAGCTCTGTACTGTCGCTATTGCTTCCTAGTTGTATGTGACTTAACAAAATGTGACGTTCCATCAAAGAAAAATCTGTACTGTAAAATAACAGGTCTTGGACGAATCATACACAAACACTACGTCACGATGAAGCAATGGTCTCAGATTAGATGCTGGAGGCTACTTGCATTCCCTGCCTGCCGTCCTGCCCACCTCGTCCTTCCGGCTGGAAGGCCTTTCATTATCCTTTCATTCCTCGACCCCAAAACCTGCCCCAGACGAGCTAAAAGCATACAGCCGCCATTCCTGCTACCAGCTCCCAACCGCAACCACTGAGCAGAGAGCAAGCACAATCAACGCCTATGAAGCCCCAAGACTGTTTCATGAAGTCTCTTTTGGGACCCCTGCAGCAGCCTTTGAGGATGGCGGCCACCCTGAGAGGCTGTTAAGCTTTGGGCGTCTCTTCTTCAAGGCCGGGTAAGTTTCGGATTGGAGTTTGGGGCGAAGTGCTAGATCGCGCATCAGGAATTCGGTGCAGCACCTGCAGACAAGGGTGACTTCAAGAGCCCTGACTTCCACAGAGTTGGGATGGATTCACTGCGCATCGAAGCCAACCCTTTTCTGATTTGTCTGAGCTTCGCCAACCGCGGTGAGAGGCCAGGTCCAGGTGCCGACATTTCGGAAGGCAAAGGTGTGAAACGAGCAAGCTGTTCCATGCAAAACCTGTTGTTTAAAGCTTCCAAAGCCTCTTGGCTAGGCCGCAGATGGTTGAAAACATCATGCGTCTTGCAGTGGAGTTTGCCATGTTGACATTGCACATACATGATAATGTCGAGGACTTCATGTACATGGGAAAGGTTTAGGGTTGAACGTTTCGGGGGTTTGGGTTGTTCTGAGTTCCCGCCTCCCCTGTGGCGTGGTGCCTGTGGTGTTCGCCATTTGATAGGGTAGGCCTTCTCCCTCAATCTCTTCGCATAACACAACTATGCATCTAGTCATCCAGTAATATAAACATGAAGCTAAACGCGACTTGGTACAAAATACGCATGTCTATCTTCGGCCGGTTCAGCGATCCTCTGCCATCTTGAATCTGCCGATGCTCGGGCCGATATGTCCCGCGACCTGTCGGTTCAGATCCATGCATCAAACCTTGGAGAGCCAGATGCTTACTCGGGTAAACGATCTACCCCAATAACCCATAGACGATAGTCGCGAAAAACATCGAAAAATCCCGGTTGCATAAACCCTAGATCCTCAAGATGTCTCAGCTTTACGGCGGCAGCTGCCCTAGACAGGTGGCATGGCCGAAGCGGACGATTGCAAGCCTACTTAGATGCTTCTCACGTACTTAGCTACAGTACACCAACTATACATGCATACCTTGGCCCAGTCATTGCCGAAGTGGGTTTCCTTAGGGACACATACACACCGATACATGTGTGCGCATATGTCTGTATGAATGTATGCATGTATGCATGTCTGCCTGCACGTATGTATGTATGTGTGTATCCACATATGTATGCATGTACAACTATCTATCTGTCTATCTGTCTATCTCTCTATCTTTTGGCTTCCTCAGTATTCTGCATCTATACTACAATAAGTGAAACCTCTTTGTGTGCTTGGGCCCACACCTCTGCACGAGGCCAGCCGAAGCCAGGGTCGCTGCAGCGCAGGACAGCGAGAGCTTCCGCGCCCCGACTCGCCGAGGGGCCGACATCTCTCTGCACTGGGCTGCCCTGGTCTCTTCGACTTCTGGGGGGATAGGGTTCGGGGGTTCGGGCTTGGAGGGTCTTCTGTTGACCCCTTGCATTCCGCTGGTAGTTGTAGTAGCTATTTCTGGGATATAGATTCGGGGCTTAAAGGGTGTCGATGCTGCAGAGCGTAGCGGTAGCGTCGAGGTGTGGGGCTTAGGAGGTTAGGGTTTAGGTTCTCTCGTTGAGGGTGGGCTTTAGGATTCACGCTTTTCCCAAGTTGCACTTGGCATAGTCCGTGCATCTGAGTGGAAAGCTCATGGCTTGAGTGCAGTGACGGCAAGGCTTGGCGGCTGTGTAGGGTATGGGCCTTCGGGTCTGGAGTCTAGGATGGCTTGTGGTCCAGGTCTTGAAAGTGCACCAACTTCCATCAACTTGTTGGTAGTCTGTGGTCTTCGCTAGGCACATTATAAGGCACGGCTTACTGTCGCCGAAACCCTTCGAAGTGCGGAAGTCTGAACTCCACCGTGGTACCTGTGCCGGTCCATGCGTCGGCTTGTGTTGAGCAGCTGTTTGGAGCCAACATGGAGCGCCAGAGCGTTGTTTGTGCCAGGCTCTCTTTCAAAGTACAGAGTCGCACCGCAGGGAGTT